GTTTAATTTTGTATTGCAACAAAGAAATTAAGTTGAGATACTATTGTAATTAGTTCTAATAGAATGATTCCTCATATATTTTGGTTTTGTATTAATTATTTCGTTACAAGCTATGCATAACAATGATGAAACACCGCTGCATGTGTTAATATTTTATTGGTTCCTCTAGTTATGAATGGTGTGCAAATGTCCTCACTTTCTAAAATAGGGCTTGAACGTCATAAGAATCTTATTTCTAGTAAGTGTTAACCCTTTCATTATGTTTTTGTGGTGAAATTATTTTAAAAATACGATTTAGTTAAAATATTTTATTGTAAGGATTAAATTCTTTTCTTGAAATAAATAAAATTTTATAAGTTTATTTTCTGCAATGATAGTGTTGTCTTTTAAATATTAACAATTTGATAAGATTGTCGTGACTGTCCATGTCAACTGGAACGGTACGTGTGGCAATTGGATTATTGTTTGCTTCATTTTCGTTGAGGTAACTGAGTGAAGGAAACGTGCGCCCCTCCATTTGAGTTTGTTGTGACTTATATTTGACTTTGAGTATCTCAAATGATGCCGTACCGAGTAAAATTGTTGTTTGGTTACTTAAAAGAGGGAAAAACTGTCCTTGAAACCATATTTCCTGTCCTTAATTCTCTTAGGTCGGTGCTTCATGTTTCATTTGCTTCATTAGTTACTGCTAGAGAATTTCTTGAGGTACATCTCTTTGACTCTGAGTTCTGTTTCCTCAATTTACTTCGGCAAGTTTATACTTTTCTTCATATTAGATGTCGGAGTCGTAGTTTCAAATGTGCTTATCACTTACTTATTACTGTTAGTGCAACTGCAGTTTCTTGTCTGGAGGCTAATTTATAGAAATAAATCGAAAAGTTTTCGATGTTGGACCAAAGTAAGTTTGATGTTCACATCAAGTTGTTGGCACTTAGAATCCCGCGTGAACTTTGCAAGCTCGCCACTCGTATACTCAACGGGTAAGATCTTAGCTATATAGTGTTTGGTTTCTTCCTGTCTTACGGTGTATTGCTTGATATGGAGACTGCATTCCAAGTGTTTGCTTAATTTCCTCAATGCGGAAGCAAATTGAATTTGTTAGATTCCTTTTGTTTGCAATATGCATGTGTTGTTGTCAGCCTGCTGCACAACGGTGATAGTCTCAACTGGTGTTCGCTGAATTCATTACATCATGTTTGAGTAAATTTTTAAAGGAATGGATAGAGAGGAAAGTAAACGAAATATTGATTTTTAATGGAAAAAGTAAAGAAAA